ACTATTCTGACACGCTTCTATCTGGAGCATGGCGCTTATGGCCGGAATTCGATTATAAGCGCCCCCCTGTAAAACACTGACATATTATAAGCGCATGCAAATTTTAACCCTAAATGCTGATTAAAACGGTAACGAATTTCGAATTTCTAGCGAGTCAACACCCCCATTTTCACTTTCTTTAACTTTCCAGGACCTACTGGTTGCGCGTCCAGTCAGTATGAGTTGGCACGCGGCCAAAATGACGTGCCAAAGCTCTGTGCACCGTAAAAAAATCGCCCTCGCGCGATTTTGATTCTGGACCCTGTAAAATTTCGATTCGATTCAACTTGCGAGACTGAAATGTACACTTCATATTCAATTACAAGCGCCCCCCTTAAAAAAAACTGATTTTATTATAAGCGCATATGCGCTACTATCCGGGGTAATACGGTACAGTGATCATACCCTAGCAAGTGTAAGCATGCAGGTACATATATAGATCACAGTACAAGTAAAGTCACACAGTAAGCAAGTGAGGCAAAGTAGGCACAAGACATAAAACAGTACAGAAACGTTGATGATCACCAGACTGAAGTGCCTTGGTGAATATATCAGCAGTGTTGGCCCTAGTGGCCACGTAAGCAAGGCTAAGCTGACCACGCTGCTGCAACTCTCGAGCAAGGAAGTAACGCAGAGCGATGTGCTTCGTTCTGTGCTCCAGTCTGTGCTCCCTAAACCCGAAAAAGCCCTTGGGATCTTTTCAAGGCTAAGACCTTTTGTAGGAATGTTGTATTTACGGAAGCGTAATAATAAGATTACTTGAACCTGTCAGAGGTCCACTGGTGATCCCCGATTGATCCTAAGGAAGGGTTACAGGCTCGTTGTCCTGGGGGGTTATGGGCGCACAAACCCGCTACACAAACAAGCCCTTCTATCCCAATGGTCTAGTGGTTGGGATTCTGACATAAGTTTAGGGTTTAGGGTTTAGGGTTTAGGGTTGAACTGCCCTTTTGTGTAGAGGATGAAGGGCTGGTCTGCTGCTGGCAGCCGCAGCACTGTCGCTGTCTTCACGGCTGTCATGAGGTCTTGCAGTGCCTGTCTCTGCTGCTCTCCCCACTCCCATGCCTTGTCCTCCCGCAGCATCCCATTTAGTACTGTCGCTCGTTTGCTGAAGTTCGGCACGAAGCGCCTGTAGTAGCTGAGGAAGCCCAAGACCGCACGCAGCCCTGACTTGTCTCTTGGTTCCCTCAGCCTGTCCAGCACTTGCACCTTCGCTTGCTGGGTACCAATCTGCCCCCCTGTGACCTCATACCCAAGATACTGCACTGTCCGCTCCCCCCACCTGCACTTGTTGGGATGGCAGGTGAGCCCTGCCCCTTCTATGGCGGTCAATGTCCTCTCCACGTCCTCCAGGTGCTGCTGTTCGGTCAAGCTGAAGATCACGACATCATCAATATAGCACGCCGCGTGTTCTATTTCCCGCAGCACCGCGTCCATGACTCTCTGAAACACCGCCGAGGCGTTCCTCAGACCGAAGGGCATGTAAAGCCACTCGTACAGCCCATCCGGTCCGTGGAAAGCCGTTTTCTTCACATCCTCCTCTCTGATCTTGATTTGATTGAACCCCTGTCGCAGGTCCAGCGTCGTGAAGAACACTCCGTCAGCCAGCTTGTCAAAGAGCTCTTCCGCCATCGGCATTGGGTATCTATCTGGCGCTGTAATTTTGTTGAGATCCCTGTAGTCCCCGCACATCCTCCTACTCAGCACCTCGCCTGTCAAGTCCTTCCTGGCCGCCACCACGGTTGGGGTAGCGTATTCTGATTCTGACCTCCTGATCAGTCCGGCTTCCAGTAACTCCTTTATCCTCTCCCTGCAGATCACTTCATCCCCTGGTGGCATCTTCCTCCTGCGGTGGAACACCGGCTCATCACTACTCAATTTCAGCGCCATCTCTTTGATCTTGCACTTCCCCAACTCCAGCAGTGTGAAGGCGAAGCCCTTCCGATGCCTTGCCAGCAGTGCCCGCATCGCTGCCTTCCCTTCTTCGCTCATGCTCTCACCTATCTTCCACTCTGGCTCCTCTTTCTGCAGGCAGGCCCACACCCCTTGCCTCACCGTCGCCACTGTGTTTTCTCCCTCCTTCAATCCCCAGTGCAGCACTGTCTCCTTCCACATCCGCTGCACCAACCACCTCATCATGTACCCATCCATGGCATTCCCCAATGCCCGTCTCCGTTCCTTCTCGCTCACGCCTGGGGCTGCTGTAGCGTTCTCCTTGTATCCCATGGCCAGCTCCCTCTCCAAGGCCGTGGGCTCTTCCCACTGTCCCTTCCTGTGGTCATGCACCAATCCTGGGCCTGGCTGCTTCCCATCCATCTGATAGCCTGCTGCCCCCTCATATGACACCAGGGTAGGCAGTGCCTGCCTTTCCTGTCCCACCTGGTTGCAGGAATAATGCCTGCTGTAGCCCTTCTTGGTCACTGGTGCTGGCGTTCTTCCTGGCTCCAATATGTCGCTCAGCTTCCGTCCCCCAGCTCTCTGCACCCCTTCTATTTCCTTCTGCAGGTCTTCTACTGGTACCACATTCTGCCAGTACATCCTGAGCCTGTGCGCATATGCTCCCATCCGCGCCGCATCACTGCTCACTCCTTTCCCCACCTGTCTGGTCACTCTCTCCCTTACTAGTCTTATCGGTTCTCTCACGTCTCCCTCCATATCCAAGTGCTCCAGCAGGTAAGCCACTCTGCCTTGCCTCGCCTGCACCCACTCCATGACTCTGAACAGATCCTCCATCAGTTGTGTTCGTAGGTCTTGCTCACCCTTGCCCTTCCCTGCCCATGATACCCCTTGGCATTCCCACCCTGCCACCAACAGGTCCACGTGCCCCCAGCTTGCTACCTCAGCTTCCGTAATGGCCCTTACATCGTTCACTCCTCTGCTCATTGCTGCCTTGATCACCTCTCCCTGCAGCAGCTCCGGGAACTCTCTGTGCAACTCCCACGCCTGATGCTCCGCTATTTTCCTCACTTCTGGTGCTTTCTCCACGTAAATCCACTGCTTTACTGCAATTCCATTTCGCGCCACTGCTGCCAGTCCCGCCCCGATTCCTCCGAACAGCTCCACCAGCCGAATGGGTTGCTGCCAATCGGTCTGCTGGCTAGGTTCGTCCATGAAACGCATCCTGGGCTCCCCACCTTGTCCCTTGCCTGTTGCGGCCTGCTTCGCTGTCACCTCCTTCAGATCTGCCCTGTAGGCCCTTTTTGGCTCGGTCCTGACAAACTGCACCGGCAGCTGCCCCAGTGGCTCACCCTTCCTCCACCACCTGGTTCTGAACTCCACTGTCTCCTTCCAGAAGCAGATGGTCATGCCCAATGCAAAGATCATCTCTGTGCCCACCAGGACGTCAAAATCTTCTGACTCTGAGATCCCGCACCTGATTCTAACCGGCGTCTCATGCTTCTCCCCCTTCAGCACCGTCAGTTCTATTGGAGTCCTCGTACAAGGCATCCACTTCGACTCTCCCCCCTCTGCTGTCATCACTAGCATCCCCTTCACCACATGCCTGTCAGGTGCCCACAGTCCCAGCTTCTCGGCCATCCCCTTTCCGAGTATCACGCTCTGCGCTCCAGTGTTTATAATAGCCGTCTTAGCCTTCTCCCCTTCCACTGACAGCGCACCACCTTGGATCAGCAGCACGGAAGTCTGGCAAGCCAACCTCTCCTGGGGGTGCCGTGCTGCTGTGCATCTCTCCTCCTTTTCCTCCGGCTTCTGTCCTCTCTCCCGCTCCTTTCTCAGCTGCTCCTTCCGTGCATCCTTTCCTCCGCTGCGCAACCCCATCTCCTCCCTTCCTCGCCATGCCATGTATGCTGGTTGCTCCTCATGCTCCATCTCATTCTCTCCTCTTCCCGCCCAGACCATGAACGCGGCTTCCTCATCCTGCTCCACATCTTCTTCCTCCTCTTCCTTGGCGTACATCCCCGCCTCTGCTTCCCGTCGTGGTCCCATTGCCTGCAGCTGGGCCTGCAGCCTGCTGATTTGCTTCTCCAGATCTTCTGGTGACTTCTTCGCTGCTCCCTCTCGCTGATAACACTCCTTTGCTGCATGCCCTCCTTTCCCACAGACTTCACACTTCGGTGCCGTTGGACATTCCCGCCGCCGATGCCCTGGCTTGCCACAGGAGTCACAGTTCTTGCAGTCTCGGCGCAAGTGTCCTGGCTGCCCACATCTGTGGCATGTTTGTGTGTCAGGCCTGGTCTCCTCTCTTCCCGCTGCCCTGTCCTTCTCCTCCGGTATCATGGCCGCAGCCCATGTAGGCCCCCTGCCTCGCTCCGCCTGTCTGGGCCTGTATGCTTCATATTTCCTCTGCGCCAGCTCCATCTTCTCTGCCAGTTCAAACACCTCTTCAAGCGTTGTGTCGGCCCCCATCTCATACACCTTCATCCGCAGTCCGCTTCCCAAAGTGCCCTCCAGCCCATCCAGGAATTTACTCACGAGCAGGGCCATGTCTGCGCAAGTCACATCCTCTGCCAGGTTGACCAGCCGGTTATAGTAGGTGAGTAGTGACTCGCCCCGCCCCTTCCTGAAATCTTGGAATTCCCTGATCTTCTCTGCGGTGTGACCTGGAAACTGCCGTTTCAGCCGCCTCAGGAATGCTTCAGTAGGGTCTTCCCCGTACCTTCCTGCCCTTTCCAGTAGCTCATCCATCTTCATCCTGTACAATGTCTCCGCCTCCCCTTCCAATGTGTTTGGCAGACTCAGGAAAAAGTCCACCGAGTCCATGCCGCTCCTTTCGCATCTGTACCGCACGTTGCCCACCTGCATCAGGTAATTCTTCAGCGTGGGGCCCGTGCGCTGATCTCCTGAGAAGCGTGCTGGCACTTCCACTCTCGTGGCCATTACCGTGCTTCCCTTGCCTTCTCCCCACGCCTCGCTCAGCCCTCCTGCTGATCTCCCTGATGCTCCTCTCTCTCTCGCCCGCAGTATTCCTTCCCTCGCCTCTCTAGCCCATTCTAGGCTGTGCATCAGCCCGCTGCCTTCCTCTCTGCTGTTGCGTTGATCCCGTCCTCCCTCACTGGTGCGTCTTCCGTCATGCTGCCAGTACCGATCAGGTGAGTGATACCCTCCGCCGCGCCCCTCATCCCTGCTCTGTTGCCAAAGCTGCGAGCCGTATCCGCCTCCCCGGCTTTCTCCATGTTGCCTGTGCCAGTCGGGCGAGCGCGTCTCGCTTCCCCACCTCTCTCCATGATACCGTTGCAGATCAGGCGAGCGGTAGTCGCCTCCGCGTCTCTCATCACGAGGGTAACGAGGACCTGGAAAGTGCAGCTCCCCCCCGCTTCTCCAGTTGTGATACCTCCGCGGATCTGGTGAGCGCACACTTCCCCCGCGTCCACTGTCCTGGTGCCGCCGTTGCTCTGGCGAGCGGTAGCCGCCTCTGCGCCTTTCTTCCTGCAGCTGCTGCCGTCCTGGCGAGCGGTAGCTGCTTCCGTGCCTCCCGTCCTCGTGCGGGAGACGTGGATCTGGCGAGCGCGCGCCGCCACCGCGTTCCCCGTCACGATTCTGCCGCCGATCTGGCGAGCGCGTACCGCCGCCACGCCCCCCCTCCCGATACATCCGTGGATCTGGCGAGCGCGTGCCTCCGTCGCGTCCCCCATCACGATTCAGCCGAGGCTCTGGCGAGCGCGCACCGCCGCCGCGTCCTCCGTCCGAACGCGCGCCGCCGCCACGTCCCTCGTCACGCTGCTGACGCGGATCTGGAGAGCGCGCGCCACTGCCACGCCCCCCGCCGTCACCTTTCTCTCCGTCGCGCGGCAGGTCTCGAGTACCGCCCTTTCCTTCTGCCTCCGCCGTTCTCGGCTCCGCCGCCACGCCCGCTTGCGCGGGATCGTCGTCATCAACTCCAGCGGGCATCTCGCGCTGCTCGCCTGCGCCTTCCTCCTGGGGTTCGTCATCGCCCTTGGTCTCGCCTTCACGATTCGTCTCACGCACTCGATTCGCCGAGTCGGCCTCGTCTTCTCCATCCACATCAAGATCGCCTTGGCGACCCGAGAAGAGCTCCTCCAGACCTCGCCCGCGACTTCTCTCTTCGCGACGGCGATAGCCTTCCTCCGGCGAGCGGTATGCTCCCGTGTCCTGGCGGTACCCACGACCGCCATCCGCTCCGTGACGCCCGTCCGTCCGCCACGGGTCACTCCCCGTCGTGACGGATCCAGATCCGCCTCTTCCTTCTCGGGCGGATCCTCCCTCCTGGCGATCTGGCGCGAGAGGGACCTGATCCGCACGAAAGGCCGGCCTCCGCGGCGATCGCTCAGGCCGCCGCGGCGACCTCTCCAGCGAGCGCCCGCGCTCACGTGAGCGTTCGCGCCGCGAGCGATCCGCCTCACGGCGACCATAATTCCTGCCGTGACGCATCTCGTACACATCCATGCTTGTACGCGCACCTTTCTGCTTGTTATGAAAGTGACAGAACTCTCACCTCAAAGGTCCTCCCTGAGTGGTGTGCCACCTGCCTGCTCTGGTAAGGTAACAACAGTCCACTATACGAAAGGATAACAAACAGAAAGCATCAGAGGTGTGTGTGAGAGTGAACTTACCTGACCCTGGCTCGAACCGTGCATTTCTCAATGTGCGGCTCGAGCCTAGGTTGGTTCGTTCTCATTGGTTGCAAGGATTTCACCCAAGGTGCTCTCCTACCAACTTCGCGTCAATTTCCCAGCTCCCACCTACCTATCCTCGAATTTGCAAACACAACATAGCTACACCTCCACTACACCACCATGATACTGGCACCTTATATGCACGACCGTGCATATTCGGTGACACATCGCCCATGACGGATGTGGTGGCCCTGAGGGCGATAGTCTCGGCGACGAAGTCGACCCCGGACAGACTACATGCGAGGCTTGCGCACGTCGCCATGGACACCATCCAAAGCTCGGCAAAGCACGAAGTCGTCATTGGGCTGGACCTCAGGTCGACTTCTGGCACTGACTCACCGTGTGTCTCGTGCGTCGGTGGGAAGCTGGCACGACATACCTTCCCCGACCAAGGCTCCGACGACGACGACGTGCTGGCAATCATTCATATCGACCTGTGTGGGCCGTTCCGCGTGGCTGCCAAGGACGGCAGCCTTTACTTCTTGTTGCTGAAGGACCGCAAGACCCGCTACGTGTGGGTGAGGCCGGTCGTTAAGAAGTCGGATGTGCTGCAGGAGTTCGTGCAGTGGCTGGCGGTGACTGAGCGGCAGACAAAGAAGTTGGTATTGATGATGCGCTCTGACTGGGGTGGGGAGTTCCTCGGGAAGAAGTTCACCGACTTCGTGGACGGCAAGGGGATAGTCCACGACCTGACCTGCCTGTACACCCCGCAGCAAAACGGCATGGCAGAGCGGGAGATGAGGACGGTAGTGGAGTCGGTGCGGACGATGCTGCTGCACATGGGCGTGCAGCACCACTGGTGGCACCTTGCTCTACGGCAGGCCGTCTGGGTCAGCAACTGCCTGGAGAGGTCGACGTTGCCGCCGGGGATGACACCATACCAGCTGCTGACCGGGAAGAAGCCCGACTTGTCGCTGGCAAGGGTGTGGGGCTGCATGACGCAGTTCTTGGTCCCCGAGCAGCAGCGAGGTGGAAAGCTAAAGCCGAAGGCCAGGTGGGGCCTTCACCTCGGTGTGTCGGGAGAGAGCAAGGGCTGGGAGCTCCTTGACATCGCCAACAACCGGGTGGTCACCACGTCGGACGTGGTGTTCTACGAGAACATGTCGCTGGAGGTGTGGAAGTCGGAGCACGGGCCGGCGTCAGAACGGACGTCGACCACCCCGCCGACGGACACCTCGACGGCGACGCTGCCTCTGCTCACTGAGGTCGATGAGCTTGCTGATGAGGACGCCGAGGTCGTCCGTCCACCTTCCCCTCCCCCTGCACCCCCTGCCCCTCCCCTCGTGGCCGACCTGCGTGGGCTGACTCCGCTGTCGGCCTCCGGTGATGAGGGGAGCAGTGAGGCGTCGCCTGTGGCGCCAGCCAAGAGCATCCCGGTGGCCGACGTGACGTCCAGCAAGTCGACATGAGAGGGAAGTCAACGCCGGCAGGAGAGGAGCAGGCCAAGGTAAAGCCGACGGTGGTAAAGTCAGCAAAGGGGGCAGAGGCAAGGCAATGGCCGACAGGGGAGCAGGCAGCAGCCAAGCCGACCGGGCAGTCGGCAGGGGAGCCGACCACAGTAGAGAAGTCGGCATGGACGCCGGCTGTGGAGCAGCAGGATGCTGATGTCAATGACGTTGGTGAAGAGGAAGCTGAGCAGGCTGACGCCGAGGAGTCCACCGACACCACCATGGTGGAAGTCGGACCACGGCGGACAGGCCAACTTCGGAGGCCGCCTGACTTCTTCGCCCCAGCTGCCTTCACCACGGTGTACGACGAGGTCGATGACGACCTGCTGTACGACGATGCCGAGGAGGACAAACACTTGCCAGAGCTCGACCCCGACATGCACGCCGACCCTGAGCACCACTGGGACATCTCGACGATGGCGGTGAAGGAGGCCTTAGCAAGCTGGAAGGGCAAGGCGGTGAAGGCCTCCATGGAAGAGGAAATCCGCAGCCTAATCAGCATGGGGACGTGGGAGCTGGTCGAACGCCCACCCGGGGTGAACATCATGAAGAACAGGTGGGTGCTGACGACGAAGTACCACATCGACGATACCGTCGAGCGCGAGAAGGCGAGGCTGGTCGTGGAGGGCTTCACACAGGTGTATGGCGCCGACTACGACGAGACGTACGCGCCGGTTAGCAGCTATGTCACGCTGAGGACCTTCCTCAGCATCGTCGCCGTGCTCAACCTCAACCTGATGCAGCTCGACATGAAGAACGCCTTCTTGCAGAGCAAGCTCGACCGGGTGCTCTACATGTACCAGCCGGACCACTTCAGCGACGGGACCGGCCGGGTGTGTAAGCTGCTGAAGAGCCTGTACGGGCTGAAGCAGTCGCTGCTGCTGTGGTACAAGGCACTCAACGACGTTCTGGTCGGCGCCGGGTGGAAGAAGAGCCAGGTCGACGAGGCTCCGTACTTCAAGGTTGACAAGGTGGCCTGCTGGGTGCTGGTCTACGTCGACGACCTGCTCGCTGCCAGCAGCAGTGCCGAGATGCTGAAAGAGCTGAAGGAGCTGCTGGAGGCCGCCTTCGAGCTGCGGGAGATCTCGCCGGTGCAGAAGTACCTCGGGCTGGAGAATAATGCACGATTTTCTCTGTACATGTGCGTTAGATACCTTTCAAACCTTGTTAGTTCACTAGATAAATATATTTTCTACCTTCTGTTTGAGTGAGACAGCTAGATTCCCTGTACTTTGTGAGATCTGAGCGCTTCCGTTCTCCTTGGCACTTGCACTCTAAGTTCCCATACTGACCTCCCTGGCCAATGCACCATTTTCTCTATACATGTGCGTTAGATACCTTTCAAACCTTTTTAGTTGACTAGATTAATATATTTCCCACATTCTGATCGAGTGAGACCGCTAGATTCCCTGTACTTTGAGAGATCAAAGCGTTTCCGTTCTCCCTGGCCCCACTTGCACTATAAGTGCGAATGTCGGCCAGACTGGCCGATGCACCATTTTCTCTATACATGTGCGTTAGATACCTTTCAAACCTTTCTAGTTCACTAGATTAATATATTTTCTACCTTTTGTTTGAGTGAGACCGCTAGATTCCCTGTACTTTGCGAGATCTCAGCGCTTCCGTTCTCCCTGACACTTGCACTCTAAGTTCCCATACCGACCTGCCTGGCCAATGCACCATTTTTTCTATACATGTGCGTTAGATACCTTTCAAACCTTATTAGTTCACTAGATTCAAATATATTTAATACCTACGGATTGGGTGAGACCGCTAGATTCCCTGTACTTTGCGAGATCTGAGCGTTTCCGTTCTCATTGGCACTTGTACTCTAAGTTCCCATACCGACCTACCTGACCAATGCACCATTTCCCCATACATGTGCCTTAGATACCTTCCAAATCTTGTTAGTTCACTAGATTAATACATTTCCCACCTTGTGATCGAGTGAGACCGCTAGATTCCATGTACTTTGTGAGATTTGAGCGTTTCCGTTCTCCCTGGCCCCACTTGCACTGTAAGTGCGCATGCCGGCCAGACTGGCCGATGCACTATTTTCTCTATACATGTGCGTTAGATACCTTTCAAACCCTTCTAGTTCACTAGATTGATATATTTCCTACCTTCTGTTTGAGTGAGACCGCTAGATTCCCTGTACTTTGCAAGATCTGAGCGCTTCTGTTCTCCTTGGCACTTGCACTTTAAGTTCCCATACCGACCTGCCAACAATGCACTGTCAGAATGTTATAATTGTCTAGCCTGCAGTGTGGTACTCTATAGCGAGTACAACCCAATTAGGGTTTCCTATATGTATGCCAACTGCTGCTAGTGCAAACCACTCCTTTGCTCATTTCTCGCTTGCCTAGCTAGGTAAACCCTAGCTATGGCTCCTTACTCTCGCTACTATTCTGACATGGCATCAGAGACTGTTAAGTCCTGGCCTGTGGGCCCCACTTGCTTCCGCTGCCTTCCTGTCTGTCGCGCGCCCCGTGGCGCGCGACGCTTTTTTCTTCCCGCCACGCGGTCGGGGCGCATGGCGGTTTTCTGCCCGCCGTGTGCCCTGGGGCGCGCGGCGGTTTTCTACATGGCGCGCCCCCCCGGTCGACCCTCGCGTCGCCCCCAGGGACCAGCGCGCTGCCCCCCATTGCCCGTCGCGGCGCCTTGGGGGCCCTCGCGCGGCCCCTCCTGTCACCCGTCGAGCCGCCCTTGGGGGCCCGTGCGCGGCCCCCCTCCCGTCACCCGCCGTGGCGCCCTCGGAGGGCCCGCGCCCTGCTCCTTCGTGGCGCCCAG